GGTTGGGCTGAGTAATTGAATCGTCAGGCCCAGTATAAACAAAAAAGGCCGACTCTGAGACTCAATAAAGGCCACAATAAGTAAACATGTCAAAATCTATTCAGTTACAAATATTGGACCGTTGGCATGAAAACATAATCTTAAGTAATGTCAAAATCTATGCCCAAGTATCTCGATGAAATGGGCTGATTACCAAAATGAAAAGTATGGAATAAAGACTATGCCATGAGTTTCACGAGATCCCTAATTCTTCGACAAAACGTGCTAGGTTTCAAGGAAGAAACTATTGCTACTTTGACACTATAAATAGAAGAAGAAAATGTAAAAGAAATTAGTCAACACTCAACCAAAAACTCACAATTTTACATTTGTTAGCTATTTTTAGTTTTTAATTTTAGGTCTATAATCTTTTCAAATTTCAATAATAATCGAACACTTGTTCTATCAAAGCCTTGTATATTTTTATATTCGAGTAAATTATGGTAAGGAAACTCGAGACCCTTTTATTATGAATTGAGACTTAGTGTCTCTAGCACGTCTGGTATTTGTTGTTCAACATAAAATACAAAACCTGCATTAATCAATTCAACAGATGACAAGGTACTGCGTAGCAAACAAGCAATGTGGTTCGAATATTGCTCATCCAGCTAAAAAATGGCACGCTATCCTTGATTTTTTTTATTCCAAACCTTGCATGTCATACTTGGATAACAACAAGGCCTAAGTGATGGCTTATGATGCTTACATTCTTTGCATGTCTTTCGTGCCCGCCCCAAACTCAACACAAATAGCTTCATTCCCTCCCCCACAATCACCACGAGGCCCTCTATTGTGCTCCACCTGGAGCGAGAAATAAATGGAGCTGGCACACATGTCCATTCTCTAAAACTTATTATGGTAGATTCGGATCCTTAAGGAGAGATTTGTGTTAATGTTTTAATCTTGTGGAATTGTTTGCCAGCATTTGAAACTATCTTGACCCCATCAACCCGAACGATATGTATTGAATGTTCACGTCACATTGCACGCAAATTCATTGAATTTTTGTGCTTGGGTGAAACCAGGAATCAGCTATAGAACTTTTCACCCTCAGTGCACAGTACTAAGTAGTAGGGGTGTTCATAGGTTCGGTTTAATTTGGTTTTGGGCAAAAACTAAACCGAACCGAATCATTCGGTTTACTAATAATTGAGACCTGATCGGTTTTTATAAAATTTGATTTGGTTCGGTTTTATTTTTGATTTGGTTCGGTTTGGTTAAGGTCTTGATCAAGTTTTAATACACTTGTTTAATTTTTTTTTCTTTTCTCCATCTTCATAATGTTGCTATATACTAAAATTAAATTTAATTCTTTTTGACTCCTTTTTTTCATAAATAGAGGTATAAAAATATAATAAAATTTTAATATGATAACAATAATTAATCATAAAAATTGATATAAGTTTTTAAGATTAAAATTATTTAATATTATGTATTTTCATTAAAATCCTTTGAAAATGTTTATCTATGTATCTATATTTTAATAAATAATGAAAAACTTATTATACAAAATTCAAAACAAAATGTTTCTTGTAGATAAATTGAATGCTGAGGCTTTTAGGTTGTAAATAATTAAATGATGATCATAGTATGATTATTATAATTACTTAATATTATGCATTTTCATTCAAGTATTTTAAAAATGTTTATTTATTACTATAAAAAATTTAAAACAAAATGCTTCTTGTAGATAAATGGTTATATATTTTATAAATAAATAAATAGAATTTTTTTAATCAAGTTTGGTTCGGTTTGGTTCGGTTTCTAGTACCAAAACCAAATTTGAATCGAACCAATCAGTTTTTATATCATAAAAACTAAAGCAGACTTGATTGTTGTTCAGTTTTGATCGGTTTTTGTCGGTTTGGATTGATTTGGATCGGTCCTTTCGGTTTGGATCGGTTTTGAACACCCTTACTAAGTAGTCTATTTGACATAACCACGTGCAGGCTTTCTCAACGAAAGGATTAACTGGAACAACTCTTTGAAACTGTTTGGATTAGGCTTCCAATATGGAAATGCCACGTTAAGGAATGCTTCCCCTTGTCTGATTGGGGGAAACATTGGACAGTAGAAGATTCACCCTAACTATGTGCAAACTAATCTTGTGTGCCCTGAACAAATATACGAGGCACTCTTTCAATAAATGATATATCTTTCTTAGCCAAATTAACATGAGTTCCTTTTAAATTGTATCAGCATGTTACTAAATAGTGTTCATGATGCTATTTTTGCTTGCCATGTAGTGATGGTTTCAAGACACCATGCGAAGCTACAAGAAAAATTTCCTAACACGAGAGTGATAAGAATTGTAATTCTAATTTTTTCTTTGAACTAGGCTCTCATGCCTGATGTCATGTCGATTAAGATGGGATTAAGGCAAAAATGTTTGAAAACTTTTTTCAAACAAGTACTTAACACCTATACCTTTTAAAAGAAGCAATGTGCTCCTAAAAATCTAAAAAGTATATCAATGTTACCCTTTGCCAACATTTGACTAAAATTGAATGTGATGGCACAACACCTGGCTTTGCCAGGTGGCAAACAAGCTTTGTTTTTGGTCTTCTTCGTCCAAATTATATTTCCAAGGGATGACAACTTCTAGGTGAGAGAGGCCGTGAGCTAGATGATAGCCAAAGGAAGTGAACTCGTCAATAGCAATAGCCCAAGAAGAGAAGATAGAGCGGTAGGCGAGGGTAACCATGGCTGTGTGGTTTAGGAATTGAGGGAGTGACTACAATATGATGTAAGTTTCACCTTACATATTCGAGCATCCTCTTTAGACCTGAATCAGAGCTAGATCTTTAAAGATGATCTCTCTAAGCTCACCAAATCAATATCACTAGAGTTGCCACTACCTCAAACTCATATCTCATCTCCCAACCCAAACAAACTGAATGACCAATTAAGTGACCATTCCTTTCAATTTTTGTTCTCTATCTCCCTCGAATTGTTCTCCATTTTTTCGGCATCAATAGCAAATAGAATATAGGAATATATCTATTGAGGTTTTTCTCCCAAAATATTTTGACTTCCATAAATACACACGATTTTTGGGACATCAATTCTCTCTCTCTCATTACGCCAATCTCTTTGTGTTTCGATTTGAGGTTTGGTGTATGTGTGCTTGAGTTCAATTCCTTTTAGGGTGATTAGCAAAGAAAACAATGCTTCTGTGATTCTTATTATAGAACATCTTTTAAATTTTTTTATCTTTAATATAAGACAATTGATATTGTATGAATAATGTTTTTTCAACTGTGCTCGTATTTAAATTGACTAACCATGAGAGATAATGATATTGTAATGTAAATTTTAAAAATATTATTTAAATAAGAGTAAAACTAAAAGTCTATTATACTTTGAGATAAAATTAATGATTTAACTATTTCTCATTAGTTTCAATGGGTAGCTAAACATGCCTTACAATATAAGGATTAGAGAAAGCATATATTCTTTTCTTGAAGGGTGTTGAACCAGCTTCAAACTATGGAGTAAAATAATGAGGGAGTAACATTCAATACAATATGATGCCATTTATATAAATTTTAGGGTCACTGATTTACTAGGTGATCAACACTAACGACCTTGACTAATTCAACATAAACACTCATCAGTGCCAATATTAAAACATATTAATTACTTATAGAAAATATCAAAATGTTTTATAAACATGAAAAATTGAAAAATGTCATAATTTTATAAAAAAATTTTACTTATAACCTAATCCTTTTCTATTAAAAAAAAAAGAGACACACGTATTCGTACATACATACTGTTGATGTCAGGTTCAAACCAAAATTTCTTTTGGGAAAGGTAGCGTCGCGGCTAGAATAACCAATCGTTGTGAATGTCTTTTAACTTTATAACCATGACGGTTGTCATTGCACCGACCATGCTGAACACATGGATACACACGTGTGAGAAACATGCGAATTTTAGTTTCCAACTGAGGAGTGACCTGGAATTATCGCCAAAGCCGAACTAAAAGGGAAAAGGAACAACTGCAACCCTCCTTTTCATCTTTTCATGGGTCGCAGTTTAGTGGATCGCCCACGGGAATTGTGAAACCAAAGCAGGACTTTGTATTTTAGTCTGATAAAACTTGGTTCTGTAATCTGTATTACCCCAGCCGGAGCAACCACATGACTCACTGTCCCGTGGAAGATATGGAACTTATTTTAAGTTTTCCATATTTCCCTTGACTAAATATTTTCACCGCCGATTCGTCTACCCGCCCAACAACTTCACGTAGTAAATCGAGTTCACTCAAGTCAGTGATAACCAGACGGCATAACAACAACAACAATAAGAATAATATCATTTCCTCCGCTTCATTTTATATATTTTCAAAAATAAATTAATGTTGGCCAGTAAAAAATACCTTGACAAAAATAATGATCATTTCAAAATTACTCTTTAGATAGGTTAAAGTATACTTTTAGTTATCTAACTCTATATAATATTTCATTTTAATTTTTTAATTTAATAAATTATCTTTTCTGTTATTTAATGTTGACACTGTTAGTTTTAAATAATTATTTTTTAATGCTAATTATGATTATTTTAAATAATTAAATTTAATATGCCAATATTTGATAATATTTTATTGATATCTAAAAGTTTGGTATATGAATTTTTTGTTGATAAAACTAATGAAGGGTCAAAAAGACATTTTATAAAATTAAAAAATTAAAATAAAACTTTGTATAAAGTTAAATGATTAAAAGAATAGTTTAACTTTACTCTTTATTATTTCAATTGTTAAGCATTTGTTCTCCCTCTTTCTTGTTAAATAAAGGGTATTTTCAAAATGATTTTTTTAGAATTTAAGATTTCAAAATATATTTAATTAATTTTTTATATTCCTAATTTTAAAAAAAATCTTATGAAATAAGTGGAGGGAGAGTAATAATTATAGCCAAAACTTCGTAACGAGCCCGTTCTCCATCGTAACTAATGCAGAAAAATGGTACGGTCATACGGTGGATCATTCAGAATCAGAACTCTTGGTCAAGCGTGAACAATTTTTCGTCGTAGATAGTAACTGATACCGATATGATGATAAAGGAAAGGACATATTAATTAGTGAACAAATTCTATAGCAAGTAAATACGCTTTACCACCCATCCCAAGTTATCAAAGCTCATCACGAGGAGCGAATGATGGGTCGTCCCAGCATGCTTTGGTGCTTCTCAGACTACTTATCCAAACATGGTCAGCCACCACCGCATCAGCGTCATTGTTTCGGTGCCATGCCCAGCTAGCATGTGTTTCATTCACTATTATCAGCCTTCCATGACCGAAACTTGACTCTCGAAACACTGACAAGGGGCTCCCAGGATTTTTAAACCTATGTTGTCCACGTCCACAAACATATATACACCCAATTAAACTCCAAAAACTATGGAACCACCACAGTTACTTTCTTAACTAGACCAAAAGTCAGTATATGTATAGAGTCAGCTCACTTTAACGCAAGTCCCTCGCGGTTCCCTCCGTCCCCGATTGTCACGTACATCGGACCGCATGAATCAGCCCTGTTGTCGTATATTCGAGACTGTAATTCACCCAAACATAAACAGTAATCGAATTGTGTTTTTTTCGGGAGAGATGTATATAATTGAGCTAAATCTGAATGAAACTTGGGCGAGAGGAGAGAGAGATAAATGAGAAGTGACATACAAAGCGTTCGTAGGCATGAACATGACCAGAGAAAACCAAGTCTACTCGAGCGTTATAAAGCAGCTCTTCCATGGCTCTTCTCATGGTTTCACCTTCGCCTTGATGAGCCTCGTTGGTATTGTACCAGGGGGCATGCACGAGCACAATAACCCAAGGGGTGTTTCGCCTGTCAATGCGTGCGAGATCAGATCGGAGCCACTCGTACTGGTCAGAATCAGCATGGAAATCGGTGTAAGAACCCAACATGATGACGTGGGTGGAGGCAACTTCAAAAGAGTAATATAGGTTGGAGGAAGAGGCAGACTCGTGGTGGGGCATGAGCCAGCGAGCGTTGTAGGCCTTGAAGCGATCGGGGAAGATGATTGGAATGGACTCGATCTCGTGGTTGCCGTTAGTGACCATCCAGGGCCTTCGGCTGGCGCTGGGCTCTACCAAACGACCGAAGGAGTCCCACAAGGATTGGAGGGTATCCGCGTACGACAGGTCTCCAGGCAACAAAAACACGTCGTAGCCCTTGCTTTCTGCGTGTTCTAAGGTCGATCTTGTCCATCTTGTTTGTCCCAAGTCCCCTGCACGTCAAAAAAGCTCAATAATTTAGTAATTTACGTCTGCAATTAACATATGGGGCAAAAGCCTATGCACAGGCAATGGGCCTTTGGTCCACGACGAAGAGAATTTTTATGGGCCATACTTGTTTGTAAGTTTCTCGAGGGATGAATTCTCGTGGCCGCCCTTAATTTTAAACCATGAAAACAAAAGACCCCTCGGTCCCCTCACTTTTCAGCTCATACTAAACGCAGCTCTACATCATATCCATCTTTAATTTGCCTACTTCCTTATAATTAACTGATACTTAACTTTCTAGTTCGGAATGGCCTTCTATTTAATTTACTCTATGCACAGCATTCACCCACTCGTGATTTTGTTGATTCCATAAACCCATAACCGACCGCTTCACCTAAAGATGCGATACTAGACGTTTTGCTATCTCCCTGTATGCATCACATGCATGCTAGTCCAATATAATAAATATTTGTTTAATTATTGTTAGGTTTATTGTAACTAACTACGATTCAAGTCTAGTCTTGTGAGATAAAGATATTTACCATGCATCTATTATAATCCGTCAACACTTGATGTAATATGTTATTCATTACTCTTCCAGTCTTTTTTATGAGTTATTTTCATCAATCTTGTCAATATCAATGTAAAAAAAATACAAAGAATAAAAGTGCGTAGAATTTTAAATATAATTCTATATAACAAATTTAAAAAATAATATCATATTATTTTTTCTTTCTCATAAGGATAATTATAAAAATATTTTAAAATATGATTTAAGAATTTATATAATAATTTATAAATAAAAGTAAATAAATTTTTTAAAATGTGTGTGAGGGGAAAAAATATATAACAAGTACAGCAAAGCGGGAGGGAGGTGGGCAGGAGTTGGAACTGGATCTGTATAGATTCTCATCCAGTTGTCAACCCTGAAATGGTTGGCCAACGAAAAGTGCTGACTTTTTGAGCTATAAATCAAACCCACGATCGCAAAGAATATGGTTTCTTTTACTCCCAACCGACAAAAAGATTCCTGACGCCCGTGGCGTTTGGCTTAAAAGCATAACAAACACTGTATATTTCTAGAGGACTGGTTGGGTAACCTCAAGATTACGTGCACACCACATGTGGGACATATTTTTGTCAACTTTAACAGTTATATTATCTGAACGTACTTTTACTAAATTTAATTACATATAAATTTCCTGTGTCATCTATTTGTTTGCATGATGCCCTAATGTATGAAACTCCGGCACAGACCGTAACTCCCCCGACGATAAAGTTGTAAACGACGTAATTGAAACCAAGCTGATAGACAAAAGCGCAGGCAGAGGGAATTGCAACTTACCGACAACAACAAATTCGATGGGCAACTTCGCTGGAGGCATCTTGAAGGAAAATTCGGGCCCGGAACCTCCACATCTGTAGAAGTAAGCGGTGCTCGGACGGAGAGGCCCTATTCTGACATGGTGTATGGTGCCGGACCGGTAGAGGAAGTATCGGTACCGAGTTTGCTCTCCAGTGGCCTTCGCACTGTATTTTCCGGCCTCCGTTCCATATTCGACTATGGATTGCACGTGCTCGTCTTCTGTAATCCACGACACTCTCATATGGTCCTTCCCCGCCAGCGAAATATGCACCTGTATGAGTTTAACTAAGGAGACTGAACAAACAATGATTGATGAATGATGATTCCTTAACTCGAAGACTTGAAGATTATATAGAGAACCTGCTGAGGATCGGAGTCGGAGCGCTCATTATGAGTTAAGATTAGTGGGGCCGCAGGCTGACGGGAAAAATTATTGCCTTGTGATTGTAGGGGCCGAGGGAACAGCAGGAAACATAGGATTTGAAGGAGAAGGAAAATTGGTAACGTGTGTATGCCCATTTTTTTTTTCTTTGGTTTCAATGGCACTGCCTTATAACAAGCTTTCTGATGAACAGGGTGTACGTTTTTAATGAGCTTTATCTTATGTGTTTATGTATAAAGACAGCAAGGAAGGCTGGACGGGAGTCTATTTAAAGATAATTTTGCCATAATTAATTAACATTTAAGACAGGGTCATGTATAGTGTATTGTGGCGTCAAGTAATCAAGTTCGTCTGAAAAATATTTTTGGATTTCATAATCATGATATCTATCAACTTGGACATCAACAATATCCATATTCGAATAATGGTGTATTGCTTTGGTTCAGATGATCCTACGTGGTGCGTATCAGAGAAGCCTTGTGAATTTACTTAGATATTTGACGAGTTACTGCTTTTCATGCTCTCCCCCCCCCTCAAGAGGGACTTTCCTTTTCTTTTCTCTTCTTTTCTCTTCACTTCCCCCATCTCCACCCTTTTTAAAAAAACTATTTAATAAAATAATATTAAGGGTGGAGATGGGGGAAATGAAGAGAAAGAAAAGGAGAGTCTCCTTTCCCCTCTCTCTCACACACGCACGCACGCAGGAAATTAGAGGGACTTCAACGTGCGGCTATTTGAACGAAAGAACAAAAACCTTGGTTCAAATTAAATAATCCTCGATCATTAGATAGGCACGTCGACGATAATTTTGCTTTATTTCTCGGCAACGATAAATAAAAACTAGAGCATTTCATATTATTAATGGTTAACTTCGCGTTAAACAAGATCATGTGGAGCAAGAGAAACCTCTGAGATATGATGTTTCCAGAGGAGTTAGCATTAATCGATCATGTTTGGACGGTGCTCGGATTTGCTAGAAAGTGCAGTTGACCTCTCTCTATATCTTATTTTTATTGGAAAGTAACCTTTAAGAACCCGGAAGTCGCAGTATTTATGTTAACAGCGGTTAATAATCTTAAAGATTAGAATATTTTCTTCTAAATTATAGAAATGTGGGTCCTTATATGATGGTTTTTTTCTGGTACTGACCAATCCTTTTCTGTGGTGAACGCGGCTGAATGATAGTGAAATCTCAAGTTAGGCGTTGCCAGGTCATTAGCTGATGTTCAAGGTCAAGGGCACGTTAATTAGAATTTTTATTAAAAAAAGTAGATGGCTTGGGATTTCAATATAGGCTAAATTATTCATATAGCCACGCATCTAAGGGAATATGCTTAGATACAAAAAATTGCAAATAATAAACTGAGTATTTAATATCAAATACAAAAGTTTGACCAAGACAAATATCAAATCAAATAATATACAAAAGATATGTAACTGTGGGACTGGCTAATTAATTATAAATGGTCCTATCCATTTATGAGAATCTAAGGATTTATTTGAGCCGGGACGCGTTCAACGTGGAATAAGGTATTGCTTATAAAATATATCAGGCCAAAAAAAATTTTTTTTATCATAAATTATAAGACACTTTTAAACAAAATTACACATATACTTTACAACCTTAATTATTTTTTCAATACAAAAATATAAATTTTTAAAAATACCCTAATTTAATACTCCATTAATAAAAGAATATTAAAGAAATAGATTATATGGAAAGAGTAACATTAGAAAAGCATCACTAATAAGACCTTATTTTTATTAAAATGTCTTATATTTTTATATGGAGGTAGTATGGAATAATAAAAGTTGTTCCTTATGCCATATATATCTGGCATGCTAATAGGGTTTGGGGTTTACGTGCTTAAGAGTTTTTTTTTTTGTTAAACATGCATGCTTAAGAGTTAATACTCTCTATATTGTTAATTTCCCAATGAGAGAATTGAAATAATGGTGAGATAGGAATTATTGTATAATGTAACACCTCAAATTTTAAACTTTAGTTAATTAACAAGATAATCATGTTTAAATTATTAAATGAGTTAGTGGATGGCTAAAAATGGCTAAAGATTAAGGTGGTATGTGATTACAAAGAGCTAACAGATGTTTTGGGTTGTGATTTTAATTATAGATTTAAGTTCAGAGTGAAGTCGAGTCATCCAAACATTAAAAAGTAAGAAAAATAAAGGAGAATGGCTTTATGCCGCATGTCACGGTGCACGAGCCACCAGAACATGAAACTCATGGTACACTTTTTGCAAAATAAGTCACAAATCAAACTTAAAAAATAGAAAAAAGAAAATAAAAAACAAAGAGGACGAAGAGAGCTCTACTAGGGCTTTAATTCCAAGGAGATTGAAGGTGTTTCTAAGCTATGAAACCTCAAGGGTAAGTTTTCTAACCCCTTTTTCTCCCTTCTAACCCATTTTCTTATGTTTCTAGTTAGGGTTTTAGACATTAATGGTAGTTGGAAACAATTAACATTCAAAAAAGGGCATTAAATTTGAATTTATTATGAAGGTTGTTGAGACATTAATGACCCTAGAAAAAATTAATGAAATTAATGGGAGCTAAAGAGAATTAATATATTCAATGAGTAAGCTTAAATGTGAAAAACAAAGGTTTTAGGTATTTTAGAGATAGGAGTAAAAGAGGTTACATTATGTATACAGTACTATGAATGGTTGTGGGTTTGATTAATTGTAGATTAATCATCTCTTGAACCATATTAGGCTAAGAGCAAGCTTGGAAGAAAAAGTTATTGAGGGCTAAACTTTTAACTTTTTAGAGATTTGAGATAATTGGGAAAAAAACTAATGTTAATTGATTTATAATGTAAAATAGTTTATTTGCATATTCGATTGACATTGTGAATGTGAAAGCATGCTATAGACCATATAATAGTGTATTAACATTGATTTGACCAGAAATATGAAGTTGAAATAATTTTCAAACTATATTAGAATAGAAGTGTATTATATGTGATGTGATGATTGTGTGTTAGTAAGAAATTGGTGCTTTAGTAAAGTGGAGATTGTGTGTGATAACTTAGAATTGTTTATTCTCCTATGCATTAATTGATTAAGTGATTTGAAAATAATAAGCTTGATTTAATGAATTACAAGCACATGTAAACGTGTGAGTGAGCATAAAACATTGCATGATCATTGGGGAAAGTTTGCCTAGGGAGAGGAGTAAGAAATCCATATGGTATTTTATAGCCTCCTTTCGATGCACAAAGGTTAGTTTTGTCTTACTGTTTGTTGAGAGACTGTCCTATAATTTGTTGAGTGACTTGAACCCAACTATCTTCACCTTTGTCAATGAGACTAGCCTAGGGTATACAACACTCCAAATATTTAGGAATAGGCAAAGTCGTGTCTAAGAGGGAGTACAGTGATCTTTGGTCAGGTCACTTCTCACAATTGATAAGCTTAAATAGTCCAATCACATAAACGGAGCCCTGATAGATATTATAGCCCATAGTTTTAGTTAAAAAAAATAAGAAGGATATAAGGAGAATTTGATCATGCATATATGTGTCTTCGATATGTCATGTGGTTGATATGTTTGTAGCAAGCCATGATAGTTATCATGTCATTGTCATGTGATTATTTGTATTGTGACAATATGCATAATATACTTTGTGATTTATAATGTGAAATATGAAAATGAGTTTATTTGTAAAAGTATCATTTGTGTTATGTTTAATCTCATACTTTTGAGTATTCAACTTTATTTATGTGGTTTAAATCAATTGATATACAATTGCATGAGGTAGGTATACTTTAGTTACTGAGTGATTGTACTCACCCTCTCTCTTAATACTTTACAGGCTTTAACTTCGGTGTGAAAAGAAAAAAGGCTCTGGAGGCTTATAAATTTGAGTATTCCTATTGTAATGCCTCATAACTGCATTTATTTTGTATAATAGATAATATATTGCCAAGTAGGTCACATTTATATGCACTTACACTTACTATTGTTTATGATTTTAGAATGTATTTTGAGATGTGGAATATGTATGTATGTTTGATTAAGTGTTAATGGGGGTAAAATATTAGTACAAGTGTAAAAAATATTGTTAGATTGTGGAATTTGAAATTTAATGATTTATACAATGTTAAAACCTCCCCTTTTTATTTTTTGTTATTAAAGGAGTTAAGGAGTAAAAATTTGGTATGTTGGAATTACATACGTATGGTATGTATAGGTAGTCATAAGTCCATTGAATATGTTGTAACTATTAGGAATAGCTTTTGCATATATATGGGGTTTTGGACACCCTTGAGTTGTGAAAATTGTGAAAAGAATTGACAATGTGTTTGAGTGTTCATCTTCCTTAGATGACATAATTTAGAAGTAAAACCTATGCTATTAGCTTGTTTATGAAAAGAAATTTTTATAGAATCCTAGATCATTTCAATCAGACGTCAGATAAAAAAATGGAATATGTTTGAAGTTACCTTAAATTGCTGTCACATGACAACAACATGCTGTCTGATATGTGTAATACACCATGTAAGATTACCCTTACTTATCCACAATTAACTCTAGAAAATCAAGGTAATCATAAGGATAATCTAAATGAATTATCAATTTTATAAAATTTTTATAAATGAGATCTCAAGTTTTTAAAACTTAAAGGCTATAAAATCATATAAAAAATAAAATCAGACAAAAACATGCATATGGAAGCATGGACAGCATACAAGGTAAGATCAAATCAAACTAGGGTCAAAATAGCAAAAAAAAACTAATTCTAACACAATTACGCTGTAGCATAAAAGTTTATATTGTGTTATAAACAACAGAATCTATAACAGCAACAAGCTATCACGGCAGATTTTCTAGCCAAAATTTTGATGCGAACCAAATCTTCATTTGACGTTTGATTGAGGTGATCTATGTGTCTACAGAAAGCTTTTTATGAGCTCTAGCTAATGGCACTGGTTTCATATTCAAATCATTTCTCCATCAAAAGTTGAACACTAAAATACAAACTCACTTATTTATGCTTTCAAAACATAACTAGGTTGTTCGAAACTCAATCCAAGTGCCAAAAGCCCACATTAACCTTTGGACCACACTCAATAGATTTAGAACAACTTATGTAACATACCACAACAATTAGATATCACATATTTCATAATTTCAACCCTCAATCCCTTGATTTAAGAAATAACAGGGGGAGGCATTTTTACTTCAAA